TGAGATTGTGAAAAATTAACTTGTATGTCGTTTAGCTTATTTTGCAAGTCTTGTATAATTTCTTCTCTGGCTGCGTCCTCTTTACAGAACTCAGAAACCTGTTGTTCAGCATTCTGCAACTTAAATACTAACTGACTACGTTCTAACAGCAATTGCTCATTATTGATTTCCAAATCTCGTAATTTAAAATTTGAAACTTTTAAAGCTTCTGTTTCTTTTGGTAGACATAAAAGTTTCGCGCGCAGCTCTTCACAATCTGCAAGGATGTATGTTTTGCTCGTCAGTCAAATTCTGATTTTCTTCATACAATTCCTCCTCTTTTCCGAGATGGTAGTTTAATTTCCTCTCCATCAATTATTGCTGGTCCACAGAATAAGCGTCCACATTCGTTTACACTTCCCAATACTTGAACATGTATTTGTATAAACTATGGGCACTTTAGAGAATAAGCGTATAAACGCACTTTACATGGAAAGAGGTAGTAAGAGTGTAAGGAAGTCCCCTCTTATTTTTGAAAATACTAATGTCAAAAGTCGGCCCTGAGAAAGAAATACGACACAAAAAGTAAAATGGAAAAATCTGAGCTAATGTTTGGAACATCATAAAATTTTGATAACTTTCGTTCGATGGTTGACGCTACTTAAAAATCATAAGGATTCGCCAATATTCACCCTACAGCCATATATTATCTACGAACTTATTGAACTGTTAGACTTTTATGCGCATATCACCGTTTTACAGTATAAGAAAGAAAGAATTTGATTCGTACAAAACACTTTCACTATTTTAATGTTATACAATTTGCTTTCCTTCAGCTGGTGGGTATCAAAGAATTCGGTTAAAACTGAATTTATAAAAAAATTGCTTTTCTTTTTTTTTATTCTTTGAACCACAAAGTATTGCACAAGGTTTTGCCTTGCCCTGGATGGCTGGACATTTTCTTAGATATTTATTGAATCTCTAGTCAAATTTCTTTTCTTGCTTTACGCTCAAGTCGTCAATTAAAAATTAAGCTGTATAATCTTTATATTTGGATTTTTAAACTTTCTACGAATATGCCATCTTTTGTTGTTCAGCTCCAATCCTTTCCAAATTGGCAGTTCATTGAAAAAACTCTTTGTAATTTGTCGTTTTTGTATTGAATGTATCAGAATTTTCTTGTTTCCCTTGCCTTTTTTTTGATAACAGACTAATTATTTGCGCTGGCATTTCCCTACTTCTTGTAAATACCTTGGATTTCTTCCATCTACATTAAGCTTTCGTTTCTTCTGTTTCTTTTTAATTGATCCCTGCTTGTTTTTGCTAACATTTTGCTGGATCGGTTATTCGACATCAAGCGGATTTTTTTGCATTCTGCTTGCCTTTTTTATTTTTGCCAACCGATTTCTGTGAATCGTTGATATTCTCTTACTTGATGATAAGCTGCCAGACTGCTCTTTTTTCACGATGTGTTTAACAGTATGGTCTTGATCACTTGCACCGTTCTCTTTAACCAGCGTTTCCTTAAGCACTAGGTGCATCACTTCAGAGCCAGTGTCTATTATTTTGTCAGCCTCGCATTTAACATTTCTATTTTGTTTATTGTTTTCTATGGCCGGTTTTCGTGCTGCCTTTTCCTGACGCTAGGTTCTTTCTTTTCTTCCAATTCCTTCTCTAATATTTCCCATGGAGGTTCTGCAATTTTAGAAACGTTCTAACGCAATTATCAACCCAATCCCGAAATTTTGACTTCTTGCTTGCCACATTTCCATAATTTTGCAAGAGTGAAAAATTTTACGCTCTGGACGCTTGGAATAAGTTGATGTCAGAACGGAACGAACAATCAATCTAAGTACCCTACTTCTTTACCCTACTACTTTTCTTGCGTATATAACTTTTTTTTGTTACATTCTAGGCATTTGACAACAGACATTTTTTGCGCGCTTATTGCATTTGGTGTTGTCATATTTTTCTGCAACAGTTTTTTTAACGGATTCCCACAATGATTACAAATAAAATACTCCACTTTGTTCAATTTATTCCTCTTTTCAAGGTTTAACTAAACAAATAGACAAGCGTACGAAGTGGAAAAAAGAAAGACCATTGGTCATTTTCCATTTTCTTTAGTCACTCAAATGCTTCTTGATAAACCCACTAATTGGCAATTAATTTTAAATATTATATTATTATTGTGTGAACTTACAAGAAATACCTAAAATTGTTTCTTGTTCCAAAAAATCACCTTTTTTTCTTTCTTCTCTGGCCACATTCATTCTTTGGCCACATTCAATTATAATTATGTTATGATATTTTAACGATATTTGGTGCACTGACGAGCTTTGTTCCAAGGACCAACGGTGAAAATTGTTCATATCATTGGTTCGTTTGTCGATCTTATTTTGAAAAGTCGTTATATAGAAAAAAGTTGCCATTTTCAAAACTTCTCGACAAAAAACGCTGAGTAATAGTATTTTCACAACCACAATTAGCGCGACAACTTAACTGGTTCAATTATTTAAACTCTTCCCAAATAACAGTTCATATGAAAATTGAATCTTCACATGGTGAAAAGATCCTAATTTCAATATTACATGGTGAAAATTAGTTGTTAATAGTAAATGACAAAAATCAACCCTACCGAATTTGGACCAGGTACACTTATTTTTTGGGCACCATCGTATATAAGAATTACTGAGTTACATTTAACATAACGTAATTGGTGACCAACATACTTATCATAGAGAATTTTTAGCGTATACTCATTATTAATAAAATTATATGTGGTAAAAAAGTCTTGAACTTGTGTCAGGTGAGGCGGAAACTGCCTTCCTATTGTAATCCTTAGCAACGCAATCTTTCAGCGACGTCCTTCTCACTTTGCGTTTTTCAAAAAAAAAAAAATGCAAGTTGAATCGAACTACATGCAAATTAATGAAACTGCACTTACTGGGCAGGCCATCCTCCCTAAATATAGACTCCTAGGATTTTTTACATCTTTGTTGCCAAAGTTTGACAATTGGCGGTTGTGGCATTGTTCTGCTCCTCCATTTCAAATCAAAATAACTTTGATTTTCTACCAAAATTTCTTTAGTAAAAGTTTGGTTAGGCTCTGTTTTCACGAAAATACGTTACTGTTTAGGTGGTCAAAAACGATGCACGCACAAATTTTAAAAATTTCCCAAAAATTTGCGTTCAGGCACAAGGCAAGGCAATTTCATTTACATTGAAATACACACAGTAAATTGTCTTTTGACGTTTTGCGGAACACGTACAACGCAGGACGCAATCATTATGCCTAATTTGCATTGCTGCATAAACAATTATTACATAAACCAGATTGCAAATGCTAAATCAAGCAATTACAAATAAATACGTACATCTTCACGCATTTGTAGTGAAGGTTATAAAAATTTTTTTATCTTGGTTTTATTTAAGGGAATTAGAAAATACAATCATATCAGTCACCTTCATACCTCCCTTTGATTTCATATGTTTTCTTTTGAATTCGCTATACCTCTCTTTGATTTGTAAACAATTTCATATGTTTTCTTTTGAATTCGCTATATGTCCCTTTGATTTCATATGTTTTCTTTTGAATTCGCTATACCTCCCTTTGATTTCATATGTTTTCTTGTGAATTCGCTATACCTCTCTTTGATTTGTAAATAATTTCATATGTTTTCTTTTTAATTGGCTATATCTCCCTTCGATTCCATATGAAAGTGGACTTGCTTAATATTGTAATCTCTACGGAACCCGGATTTTTTTTAATGCTCCCAGCTTTTACGTAAAATCACAAAAAATGACTGGGACAAAATTTATTCTTACTTTTTCATTCACTTACTTTAGAAGAGATTTTTAATTATACTAATATGATGTTTATTTTTTAATATTTAGTCTATCGCAATTCCCCAAGTGCGTCTATTTAACACACATCAAGAATATCGTTAAGAAATAGATAATCCGCCATGTCAAGGCTTTTACCACATTTCATATGTCAATAATACACTTAACTTGGCTTATTCTTTCTTTTATTTTTTGATAAGCTCTAACTTCTCAGGAGATATCAATTATTTGCTGAAAAAATTCAAAATTTAAAGAAAAGACTTTCCCGCCCCAAAATTAAAAACTTTAATGCCTTAAAAAAGCTCTCAAGGTTGTATTCCTGTTAAACCCCTGGAATTTGTGGAGTATATACTGCTGAAAGTATTTCCTGCTGAACAATTAATCATTGAATTTGAATGTTGAATAGTCATTGGATCAATAGATCAAGATATAATGTTCCTCTTACATTGCTCTTCTAGTTCAACATCATGGCTTTTTTATCACTTCCAGCTTATCAATAAAAGTAGCAAATTGTAGAAATTAAAAATTTGTTAGTTTGAAAGTTTAAATAATGTTTAAATAATGAGTGAAAACGAAAAAAACGTTGATTTCTTCAAAATGTATTCAAATTCACGTTTCTTAAAACGCCAAGTTGTAACATTCATATTAGGAACAAATATGTACGTCGAATTCGTGTGAACAAAAACTTCATATTTGAGTAGGTTTTGTCTGAGATTTAAAGTATGCAAAATGCAGATTTTTTAATTTACGACATTACATCTAAAAAATCTCTTCTATAAAGATAACAAGTTTAACTTTATTAAAAATAAAGAAATAGAATAGAATAAAAAAATAAGAATTAAGGAATTGTTTTCAGTAGGAAGAAATTTTTGAAAGTAAGCTGGTAACTCTTTTATAGAAAGAGAAATATCTTCTCATCAACAGTGAGAGCATATATTTATCGTAAGCCGCAAAAAATATATCAAAAGAAGTTTTCCAAACTGTGTGTATTGTTGTTGTCTTTAAAAAAGAAGCAATCGAAAATATTAAATCAGTCGGAGATAGGGTGTTGGGTAGTGAGTTTTGTAGCAGGTATTTGAAGGTAGGTGATAATGAAATTTGAATGTACGAAAAAAAGAACCTGCAACGGACATAATAGGAATAAGCATGTCAAAAAACTTTGCGTATCAACTAATATAATAAATTTATAATGTTTTAACCGAAAACACTGAAAAATACATACCTTGAATTATTATTCAAAGAGTGAAGACACAAGACAACAACAAATACAAAGTAGCAGAAACTAGATTCGTAGACAACGTTGAACAAGGTCATTGGTTTAAAAAGATGTGAAATTCGTATTAATTATCTCTTGGTGCTTTTGTCGTTTTAGTTACAAATTATAATTTATTGCAATCAACAAAAATGTTTTCGACTCGATGTATCCAGCGCTGGTATCCGAACGTTTCACAGTAAGTTTATATAAGAAGTATACTTTAAATGGTGATTATCATTATCAACACCAGTCGTAAAAAATTATTTTTTAAAAATTTTATAAATAAATGGGTGGGCAAATGTATTCACGTACATTTATTACTTTAAGCTTTTTCCTAACAGTAACTTTCGTTTATAATTATGCTTTTCTTTACTTCTTTTATGCTTTTAACAGTTTGTCCAAGTTAATTAGCAGCGGCAGCAGTCAATTGGGCGATTTGGGTAGTGGCGCGGGCAAAGGCGGGGGGGGTGGCGGTACTATTCGAGAAGCTGGCGGAAGCTTTGGTAAAATGGAAGCGGCGCGTGAAGAAGAGTATTTTTACAAAAAGGTATTTCCCTTTTCATATCCCCTTTTCTTTCTCTAGAATATACCGATAGTTTGTGAGTGTATTATTGAGTTTAAGTTCTACACTAGAAAACCATTAAGTAAAGCAAAGATATCTGATGATATCATCGGCTTTGCAAATAATAATCGCTTTTTTCTATAAAAAAAAACTACACAAAAAATGTATTTCAAACATAATGTATTATTAAAACAGAGGTTATATATGCGCGTAAGGTTAGCACTTCTCTAACAAAACCCCATACTTACATCGATTTGTGTCAACACTTGCAAAGTAGTAATAATTTGGTAACCCGCATTGTTTCAGTAGCATATTTTTTCTACTTTCTTAATTCGTCATTGTTAATTGCAAGCAAGATATTCCTATTCACTAGGCCCCACTCTTGTCGTAGAAAAAAAAAGACTAAAAATTTTCATACTGTATAACATTGGGTGGGGTTCGCGGACAATACTAGAACACAATGTAAGGAGAAATTTTTATATCGTTATCAATTTTAGTTTATGAATAATGAGAAAAAATCAAATGTTTTATTTTTAAAAATATGGGTTCATGAACTCTCAATGTTGAAATTTAAGGTCGATATTTCAATATTTGCGACAATAATAGTGGTTTATGCAGATGGACTATGCAGATGGCCTAAATTGACTCATCATTTGATGTTGGTCAAGGGTACATGTGTTTTATAGACCGTCTTAAATGTTCTTTACTGTTGCAAAAGCCTTGGAAAATAAGAAAAACAAAACGGCCCGATCGTTTTGTACTCTGCGCCTCCTCGCTCAATGCAATTATAAGTTGATTTTCGTCATAATACACTAAAAATTACATATGGTTTCGGTGCACAATTATAAGCTTTGTTATAGAGAACATTAGAAATTCTTACATACAAGTAACTATTGAAATTGTTCCGATCTGTTCGAAGGATACGTCCACACAAACTGAGAATCTCTCGGGTTTCAAAAACAGGAAAACTTAATTTTTGCTTACTGCGCTAAAACTGTGGCAAACAAGACAACTTCCGCGCATATTCTGTGGGAGATCGTACAATGCCTACCCAAAAATGAAAAAACGGCCTCGTCAATCCAATATCCACTCTTTTCTACAAAAGTTGGTCGGTATAGAGAATTTGGCCACATTCAAGTATAATTATGTTATGATATTTTGACGATTTGGTGCTTTGTTCCAGGACCAACGGTATTGAAAATTGTTCATATTATTGGTTCGTTTGTCGATCTTATTTTGAAAAGTCGTTATATAGAAAAAAGATGCCATTTTCAAAACTTCTCGACAAAAAGCCCACAACCACAATTGGCGTGACAACTTAACTGGTTCAATTTTTTAAACTCTTCCCAAATAACAGTTCATATGAAAATTGAATCTTCACATGGTGAAAAGATCCTATTTTCAATATTTCATGGTGAAAATTAGTTGTTAATAGTAAATGACAAAAAACAACCCTACCGAATTTGGACCACGTACACCTATTTTTTGGGCACCATCGTATATAAGAATTACTGAGTTACATTTAACATAACGTAATTGGTGACCAACATACTTACCATAGAGAATTCTTAGCGTATACTCATTATTACAAAAGATCAGCTATAGAAATTACACCAATGTACAAGGAGACAGAGAAGTTATCAAACTTGATTAATGTTGTTCTTTATACATTTCTTCATTTGCGTTTGTCAATTTCCTGATACGAGGGTATCAGTCCTTAATTTTATTGCAAGGAACATTAATAAGAAAGAGCATAAAAATCTGCAGTTTTGGTCCTTTATGTCGTTTTACCATATTCAATCTCTGAATCTCGGCCACATTTTTTTGTAATGTCCGCAAACTAAGGTTAGAACAGGACGTGATCTGCAAATAAATGTACGGTATCTGAGAAATTCAGCTCATGTAAATATAATTAACGTAATCAGATTTTATAAAAAAAAATAAAAAAAGTGTTTTTTGTTTTGTTTTGTTGGATTCTATTTAAAAAAGAAGGATTGAAGAGACATTACTGGGAAATATCTATAGGGCTCGAGAAAGGATTACGTGGTCTCTCGAAAAAACGTCAAATTATGCTAAATTACTACTATCACAAGTCAATAAGCAGAAAAACTGACATTTCTCCTTACTGTAGGGGAATATCGTTATTCGTCTGTCGTAGTAAAATTGAGTAATTATAAATATGTATAAAATTGCCAACTGAACAGCGATTACAAATAACAAGTACGAAGAAATTTTTGCTTTTGTATAGTTTTTTATTTACTTTAAACGTCTACTCTATCTCATTTCTTTGGTGCAAAACGTTCGAAAGTGAATTAACGAACAGCGACCATAACTAGTTGGACTGCGTTTCTTACTTCAACTAAAAACGGTTTTACAGCCCTTCTGATTTCGTTTCGTTTTCATGCTAATGAAACTATAGTACATATTAAGCGATAGAAGAGCCGCGGACAGATATTAACCTAAAGTTTAGCCAAACATTGGCTGACCTAATTTAATTTAGTGCTACTAAGCTCATGGAATTTATGAACATCTGTGGTATTCTTTCTACTTGCCTGAGGGATAGATAGCTCCCGTCGTCGTGAGCAGAATATGGCTTCGCGAAATCTACAATTTTTTACAATTATTTTGAAATGTTTAAAATATAATAAGATAATCGTACACTGTCTTTAATTTTCAGCAACTAGAACAGTTGGAACGTTTGAAAAATGATCAAATCCACCAAGCTGAATATCACCATCAACAAATTAAAGAACACGAGGAAGCCATTGAACGTCATAAAACATTTTTGGACAATTTACCAAAATAAGAGAAGACAGAGAAAAAATCGACTGCACGCTTTCTAACATATTGATAGAGAACACTTTCTTATTTTTCAGAAAAGCATGAAATGAAATTTGTAGAATTTTCATTTCAATCATACTTCATTAAATAATTCTTCACTTCTATTAAGTTTTATTTTGGTTTTCGCAAAACTTCCTAATATTTGTCTTATTTGATGTAATATGTTGTATGATTTAATATTATATTCTTCTCCATTTATATACAACAAACGAATAATGATCTATTAAATACAAATCCCGCTGTTTGGATTACGTAAGAAAACGATGGATGTGTTTGCGTATTAGTACAGGGAATCTTCTTCTGCGATCTCTTAGAAACTGGTGTGGCTTTTTCGATAACATCGTTTCTTGAGTTTGTAAGAATTTATTGTTGCCGAATCAAAACTGACTGACAGAATTAGTAGAAAGATATAAAAAGAAAAAGAATAAACGATGATTTAAGTAACCTTCAAACAAATCGTGCTACCTTAATGTTTGATGGCATTTCTATATATATATATAATTTATTAGATGCTGCTATTTCAATTAATGTAAAAGTTTTTAGAAAATAGATGGACCTTTTCCGTAGAACAAGATGCACTTCCCCAACTTCAAATTATAGGATAAGAATACGTTTGTTTTTGATTCATATATTATTCGTGCGCATTTCATTAATTACAATTCCAACCCTGTAACATTGTAGTATGTGGGATTGGCAAATTCACCGACGAGAAGTGACAGCTGAGAAGAAGCAGGCTGTCACGATGTGGCGTCATTTTTGTTTTCGGGTTAAAAACTTTTAAGTACTAAATCCAACGGGTAGTCGAGCTACCATATTATTTTACAGGAATATGTGAACAAACACGTTTGGTTTTGGAGCCAAAACTAAGGGATTCACCATAAACAAAAAAGTATAAAACGTAACCATAAGAAAGTTAACATGAAAGTAACAAGCTTGTTCATTGATTAATGCTAAAGAAGATTAATTAGATATACCTAGTATACATTTTTGTGTATTAATTGACCCATAATCTGAAAACAAACATTTATCATTCCCTAATAAAACAATTTGAATAATATATTCCAATTATAAAACATATGGTTTTGATTGCTTGTTTCAAATTTCTTACTAAGTAAATGCCACAGACTAAAATTGCAAATCACGAATATAAAAAAATGTATTGGGTAAGATACTACAAACATTAAAATTTAAAAGAAACGATCGTCATTGCTTCTTGTGGGTTTTTTTTTTTTTTTTGTTTTATTTGTATATACACAAGCAAAACCATATGATATGTCAATTCTCATAAAGCTTTATAAAAATTCGGCAAAGTTGAACTCCCAATCCGAAAATAGGAATAACGGTTCGTTGTGTCAGCTCCCTAATTGGCCAGTCTCAAAAAAATAAAAATGGCGGAAGAGATTGAAGAAGAGGAGAAGAAGTTCGGTTCTAGTGTTTTCTGTGTAAGTGTTTGCATAGGAACATGACGCAGAATTAGTAGAAAGAATTGTGAAAATTAAGACATTCAAATCATAGTTTCTCGTCTGTTTTACCTGACTTAGCGAAAATTTAAGTTCGTTATTAGCAAATGAATAAAATTACGATTGATAAAAAAAAAAAAAGGGCGAATTGTCTTTCCTTGAATTTCGTATAGTACGTCTAGAGAATTCGTTTTGTTTTGGCATAAACAAAAAAATTGACTATGTACGATTTTAAGTGTGTTAGGAATTATAAAGTTCATTTGAGAAATTAACAGGAGCCCAATGTGCATAGGTCTCTTGTAAAAAATCGTGGACCAATAGGGTACCTAGGGCATAAAAGTGGCTCTGCCCGTACAAGCTTCGGTAAGTATCGTCCGTTCGTTTTTCCTTGCCTTGGTTAAAGCACGTATATTTCCTTACTGTAATCGTATGTGGGGTGGAATGAAATCTGAAACCTCCCATTTCTCCCGAACTAGCTATCTCATCAATGACACGTGCGCCTATCCTGCTACAGCCTCTAACTTTATATTCGAGACCTTTTCTTCTTTTTTGTTATTTGTATTTTATTTTGGTTATTATACAGAATTGAGGAAAAGCGTAACTGACAATGCTAATTACACAACAGTGGCAACAAAGATGAAGACTCTAATTAAAGGAGACATAGACACAAGCGTTCACATATAAAAGTCACGTTCACAGTGGGTTGTGAAAGTCAATAGAGTTGAAGTATATACAGATAGGATGGTCCGTTTTACACATAAGCATCGTTGTTACATGTCTACTTACGCACTTATTCTGCAATGATTGGTATAGTGACACTGGGATTAATGCCGCATCCTTAACTAGATTGAGAAGACGAATTAAGCAGTTTTGTTAATTCAGTTGAGATTTCACTTATTTGCAAAAAATTTTTTGGACGTGCAACAAGACGGCAAATTTCTTAACAGAAGCTCAAATCTTATTATTTATTTATTTATTTATTTTATTCCACTTATACTAGAAACTCAACTAAACAAATAACAGTCGAGTTCAATAGGCTCTTAATGCAAAACTAATATTAATTAACAATAAAGTTGAGTATAAGCATAATAAAACAAATAAGAAGAAAAAAAAAAGAAAAAAAAGCATGTACACTATCAGTATAGGAGCACACTTACAACCGGTACAGGACCAAATTGCAAATGAACCCCTAAGCCATCGCAAACATGCATAAGCCTGGCAACCGATAATAAATTGACAATAATTCACTTTCGAAACGTAACAACTTTTTAAGGATAAAAGCTAGTTTAAATACGACATAGGTAAATCGCACGTATTAAGCAATGTTGCTTCAATGGACTTCAAAGAGTCCGATAACGAGAAAAAGTGGTAGACGTCATTTAGGTTCTTGCAAACGACTCTGAGCGGATTGAACAGCTCATAATTAAATTTACACTGATTAAGCTTAACCAAGATAAAATGCCTAGAGAAGCGGTTAGGGACATTAAAGCTTATTTCACCAAGTAATGAAGGCGAGTCAATAGCACCATTTATTACTTTAATTAGAAAGGAAACGCCAAGAACAAATCGACGTTTCTCAAGAGACGGTAGGGACAGCAGAAGCAACCTATTTTCATACGGAGGAAGAGAGGCAATCGGATCCCAACCCAATTTTTTAAGGGCAAACAGCAAGAATTGCTTTTGAACAGATTCAATTGAATCTACGTAGCACCTATATGAAGGAGACCACACAACTGAGGCATACTCGAGTATGGGTCTAACCAAACACATGTACAGCCTTTTCGTAAAGTAGGGATCATCAAGCTCCTTGGACCACCTTTTTATAAAACCAAGCGCGGACCTAGCTTTGCTAATCGAGAGCTCAATATGCAAGTTAAAACGTAACCTATGGTCAAATAGAACGCCTAAATCTGTAATCGAATCGACGTCCTCCAACTTATGCGAATCTATGAAATACTGAGTAATGAATGACTTTCTTCTTGAGAATGAAAGCTTCTTACATTTACTCAGATTTAGTTTCAGAAGATTCAAAGAGCACCATGCAACAAAATTATCCAAATCACCTTGTAGCTGATGTGATTGCGATTCAACAGAGACGGAAGAAAACAGTTTTACATCCTCAGCGTACATGAAGATCTGACTCGAATTAATCACCGATGGGAGATGATTAATGTATAAACTAAATAAAATAGGACCTAAGTGACTTCCTTGAGGTACACCAGACGTAACGGGGAACTCATCCGAGGTGATGGAGTTAAACAAAACCCTGAAGGATCTATTGTGCAGATAAGAGCTTATCCATTTCACTAAGTAGGGTGGGAAACCAGAGGCTTGGAGTTTAAAGATAAGTAGTCTATGGTTAACCTTATCAAATGCTTTGCTTAAATCAGTGTAAATAACGTCTGTGCGAGAGCCACTAGGAAAAGCCTTGAAAACATGACAGGTAAACTCTAACAAGTTGGTGACTGTAGATCGCCCTTTCCGAAAGCCGTGCTGGTGCGGAGAAATATACGAGTTAATGGCAAAGGCCAAATGCTGAGTCACAATACGCTCGAACAACTTGGGCAAGACACTCAACTTGGCTATGCCTCTGTAGTTCTCAACAAATTGTCTACTTCCACTCTTGTGGATAGGAATAAGGAAACTACTCTTCCAACATGAAGGGAAAACACCTAAATACAAGGACATGTTAAAAATCTTTGAGATCACACCACATAACTCGACAGCGCAAGATTTAAGTACACAAGATGGAATTCCATCAGGTCCAGGCGAACAACTGTATTTTAGAGAACTCAACCCTTTAAAAACATCATCTTCCGAAATAACCAAGTTAGGTATTGAGACAGAGTTAGTTATAGGATATGGGTAGTTTGCTGATTAATCGAAGTTAGCAATCGAAAAGTTTCGTCGGAAATGCTCAGCAAACACATTTGAGATTTCAAAATCATCCGAGGAATCAGAGCCATTGAAAGAAATATGAGAGGGATATGTGGAAATTTTTCTTTTAGAGTTAACAAATTTAAAAAAGTATTGAGGATTAGCAAACAGAGAGGATTTAATGAACTGAAGGTATCTGCAGTAATAATGATGGTTGAGGGAGTTAAATCTATGCCTCGCCATCGAGTAAGCGACATAGTCGAGCACAGAGCCACTTTTCGAATATTTTTTGAATAGCGAGTTTTTTATATTCTTGTGATATTTAATTGTCTTATTAAACCACGGGGGACATCTGCTTCGAGGTCGACTATGCTTGAACGAGACAGATGCAGCAATAGCTAGATTTAATGTATTGTAGAACGATGGCAATAAGCTTTCAATACTACCGGTTGAGAAATCAAGCGTCAGATGTGAAAAATGATGCTTTAGTAATACAATATTGATTTTATGAAAATCATAATAATTATTTAAAAAAGTTTGAGTTGGCACATTAAGGCATTTCAACAAACCATCATTAATATGATGAAAGGAAATGCATATTGATGGATGATAAGGATCCTCAGGTAAACTAAAAGATGGACAGACGTTGAAGTAGGAATCAAACAGCCAGAATTATCAGTGTTACACCAAGTGACTTGAGGCAAATTGAAGTCACCCAATGCAACGACCAAATCGGTGGGTCTAGACCGCTTGGCCACTTCACAAATGAGGGCAGAGTGTTTCTTGTAAATGGAGATCGCAGAATTTGGGGGAATATAGGAGCAGGTTATAAATAGATGTTTATTAGGCATTTTTGAACGAATGGCGATAAATTCAACGAAATTCAGGAGAAGTGGGAAATTCAATTAAATTGGGTGGGACTAA